GATATTACTGATAATATTAAGGAAAAATTTGTTATTATATAATAATATTAACAAAATAAATTATTATTAAATTTTATTATATTAATATATATGTATTATACATATTATATTACAATATACTATAATCATATTAGGTGCGCAACTAAGTTCCCGCTGTTTGTCAATAGATGGCTCCAGCAGTAAGTGCTGATCGATTTTGACATATCCAAAACGTCATGAACCAAGCTTAGACATATGGTAAACAAACCGCTTTGACACGTTAGTGATTTTGTTTTGGCGTCATATACTTTTGGTTGTGTGAAAATGTCTGATTTTGTGCCAAATAATCGTCATTTGCGGGAAGTGTTGATTTTCTTATTTCATTCGAAGAAAATGGCGGCTGAAGCGCATCGAGAGCTCCAAAAAGTTTACGGAGATGCTGCTCTAAGTGAAACAACGTGCCGTGATTGGTTTCGTCGCTTCAAAGACGGTGATTTCGATGTTGACGACCGTCCGCGTAAAGGAAGGCCAAAAACCTTCGAAGACGCTGAATTGGAGGCATTGCTCGATGAGGATCCGTGCCAAACGCAAGAACAGCTTGCTTCAGCATTAGGAGTTACCCGCCAAGCCATTTCCAAGTGATTGCATGCGTTGGGAATGATTCAAAAGCAAAAGACTTGGGTTCCTTATGATTTGAAGCCAAGGGACGTTGAGCGTCGTTTTTTCGCCTGTGAACAACTGCTCCAACGGCAAAAAAGGAAGGGTTTTCTTCATCGCATCGTGACGGGTGATGAAAAATGGATTCATTACAGCAACCCAAAGAAAAGAAAGTCATGGGGACTGCCCGGTCATGTTTCTACGTCGTCGGCTCGGCCGAATATTCACCCTGCGAAGGTTATGCTGTGTATTTGGTGGGACCAGGTCGGTGTTATTTATTATGAGCTGTTGAAACCGAACGAAACCATCACTGGGGAACGGTATCGAATTCAATTGATGCGATTGAGCCGAGCAACGAAAAACGGCCACAATACGAGCAGAGGCACGAAAAAGTGATTCTACTGCATGACAACGCTCGGCCTTATGTTGCCAAACCCGTTAAAACCTACTTGGAAACGCTCAAATGGGAAGTCCTACCCCACCTGCCATATTCCCCAGATATTGCGCCGTCCGATTATTACTTGTTCCGTTCGATGGCACATGGTCTGGCTGATCAGCAGTTCCGCTCATATGAAAACATCAAAAAATAGCTTGATTCATGGATAGCCTCACAAGACGAACGCTTTTACCGTAACGGTATTCGAGCTCTGCCAGAAAGATGGGAAAAAGTTATAGCTAGCGATGGGCAATACTTTGAATGATTCATTTGTAACCATTTTTTCACAATAAAGTTGCATTTTCATAAAAAAACAGCGAGAACTTAGTTGCGCACCTAATATAAACATGATCTAATTATCGTCAAAGTTCATTAGCACCATCAGTTCCTTTTTAATCATTGAGATCAAGCATTGAACGGCGCGATTTAAGAAAAAGATGAGTATGATCGTTACAGGATCGAAACTACGCGGGGATATATGTATGAGTGCAGCGACACAAAATATGAAATGTTAAATTTCTTTTTATTATTTAAACAAAATAATCAAATATTAGATTGCTTGGACCATTACAATGAATATAAATTTGTTGAAATTTAACAAAAAAATGTATTATATATTTTCCAAATAATCACTGAATTACTGAGCTGTGATTAATCATTATAATACTCATAATAATACTCATTATAAAAAAAAGTAATATTTTTCTATAAGGGTGGTAATTTTTAAAAGCACTTGTAAATATCATATATGATACTTTTACTATAAGCTATTTCGTATATCTGACTAACATGATACAAGCAATTTATACTATAAAGAAGAATATACTTTTCTGTTTTTTAAATGAAATATAAGTTTTGTGACAATTAATTCATGTAACTTTTATATTCAGTCTCCCTTACATATGAAAGTTACTCACGTCGGACGATTTGGGATGCTACGTGTTCGCAATAGCTTCCGCTTCTTGTCGTCATGCAAGTCGCCAATCGGCACCGCCAGACATCTCTTCTCGCGATCGGTCAATGGTGCCGTTTCCAGCACCGTTTCCTTATCATTCTGAGTTAACAAAGTGGAGATGATCAATGGTGTTGGGATATCCTCGGTAACGTTTTGTTTTTGCCTCCAGGGCGGCATATCATCATTGTGATCATTCATGACGAAGTTGAGGCGAGCTGGAATCCCGATGATCGATTTCTCGTCTCTTATTCTTGTTGACGCCTGCGACAACATGTCTTTCGCCGGATCCTCGTCGAACGAGTATCTCTGGAAGGATACTGTCTGACGACTCAGTTTCATTGCAAATTTCTTCGTCTTATTCCTATATCTTATTCTTCCTCATTTTTGTTTTCTCAATATAATCGTGTTTGTTTAAGGGGGAAGTCTACTGTAAAATTTTCAAAAAATCAATTTTTT